TCTTCCACATGGTGCGAGTTTGAGTATTTGCAAAACAGCTCGAAGGATATGGTTTATAACATTATCTATAACCCTTGAGAAGGAACTAAAGGTCCTTGACTTTGTTTAATGGCTAAATCATTATTTTGTCTTGTTTGACTATTTACCTTTGTTTCTGCATTTTCTCACTTCTCTGATTAAATTTATATTTTGAACTTGGGGAAGGCCTGCGAAGCTGAAGTTCTTATATGAAGAGGCAGGTAGAGGGCATAGTGGGCGGAGGGAGCGAAATGTCTCAGAAAGGCCCCATAAGGTCGGGCTTGGTTATAAACACTAAATTAAGATGATAAAAGTTTCCATTCTAATACAATACCCAGATATAAAAGAAAACAAAGAACAAACAAAAAACATATATGGGATTATGGTTTTATTGTTTCTTAAAAATTTTATATGCTCCAAAACACTTGGAAATTTTCACTAGAAGTAGGAAAACAAACAAAAAACAGTAAGGTACAGCAGCACAAATACCTAATGCATACTTTAATTGTGGATACATTAAATGTATGTTAATGTAATACTTTCATAACATGATAGCTCATACTGTGTTAAAAAAAAAATAATACAATAAAGTGATGCTAGAGAACTACGGAATCCTGTACTCTGTGCAGAAGGGATATCCTTATGGGAGCCAGAAAAGGAGCCCTGGAAGGTGAAGCGAGAAAAGTGACAAGCAATCTACAACTAGTGTTATCAGCAAGCTGTGAGTTTTTAAAAAATGGCATTAAAAAGGATCTAAGGAAGTCTTTAGAGACCATACCCCCTTACATTACAGAATTTCCAGTGGAATTGTAAAGGCAAGAAGGGAAATTTTATCGTGGGGTTTCAGCCATGACTCTCACCTCACTCTACTGAACATGAAATAAGAGAAAGTCTTCTGTCATGATGTGCACTTTAATCAGTATCAAGCAATTCATAGTAGCCAGAAACCCCATAAATGCAGCAAAGCAGACAAGCCTTTAACTAAGTCTCAAAGCCTAGTTAACATGGGAAAATTCATACTGGAAAAGAACCATACAAATTTAAGGATTATGAAAATTACTTTAACAGAGTTAAAGTTTTAGTAACCCATCAAGGAGTTCAAAATGGAGAGGAACTCGAAGTGTAATATATAAGGCCTTTAGGTTATCACTTACCCATTAGTAAGGGCCACACTGGAGAGAAACCCTTTAAATGTGATCAAAATGAAAAGTTCTTAGGAAGTGATTCATTCTTTAATCCAGCATCAAAACTTTCAAAAAAGAAATTTTATGAATACACTGAATATGAAATGGCACATTTGATGGTGTTTAAACAGAGGGGAGACACAAATGAAGTAGATAGGTGCTTGGAGGTGTCTTCCCAATCATCCTAAATAAAACAGCACCCTTAAGAGTCATACTAGCCCCATACCCTGCTTTATTATTCATAGCAATCATCACTGACCACACTATATTTTTACTTCTTAAAATGTATTAACTTCTTCCACTAGAATATAAACTCTGATGTTTTACAAAGCTATATTCTCAGTGCTTAAGGGTAAAACTTAGCATGTAGTAGGCACGTGATGATAAGTGAATTATAATACTTTGATCAATGAATTATAGTACCTTCCTTATGTGGAGTATTTGGTACTTTGAAGTTAATCCATTCTAAATGTAACAGAATTCACTTAGCAGACTTTAACATATAAAAACGTACTGTTCATTGCTTCGTGATACATCACAGTAAAAAGCATTGTACTGTTATGATATACACATTATTCTTCAATTGTGCGGGGGATGAAAAAGTTGTACAAAAAGCACCCCAACAGTACCCTCATTAGTGTATCAACCAGTGAGAGACCCAAAAGGACTGTTTCAAAAGGGTCATGAAGACAAAGTGGAGTCCCTAGCTTCTGAAGACAAAATTCTCTTTTTTCCTCTGGTTCTAAATCTAAACAATACTTTACTCCTCTGAGGAATAATTCCTTCTTGGCCTTGTCAACCACTGGTACAGAGGAAATGGCAGTTTGGAGTCAGATATCAAAAACCCTTTTGTGGCAGAGAATCATGTCTCTTATTAATTCAAAAAGCATTACCAAGGGCCTACCATTCATTAAGCACTACGCATAAATTTTCAAAACATGGAATTTGTCAACTTTTAAGAAAAATGACTATAAAGCAATATAAGCAGTGTGATAACATGGGAGGGGAAGATTCAGGGAACGGAAATGAAGAAACTAGTTAACTTTGACTGAAAAGGGCTAGAAAAAGCCTTACACGCACAATATCACTGGGGCTGAGGCCTAAAGGAAAATACTTCCTTGGCCACAGAGAAGGGCAATGCATCCCAGTGAGAAGTAATAAGAATAACAAAGGAAAAAAACACATAGCACATTAGAAAAGGAACTGGTACACTTGTGACTGATTGTGATGCTCCAAAAGGGGTGGAGTGAGGATGGGTAGCCTGTGATTTAAATCTTCATGCTTAGAAAGCATAAAGGCGTTTCCACAGCAAAACTTGTTAAAGACTAAATTAAATAAAAATCTTATTAGCTGTGTGAGAATAAAAATAAGAGACAGCGAGAGATTCTCCACTTGTTCCAAGAGGTTCTATCAGAACATGAATCAAAAAGGAGCCTAAGGAACACTGGACTAGAATATGATCACACAAGAAGAGCTGCAGAGATGAGACTGGCAAGCTAGGCAGAAGAAAGCAGATTACAGCATTCTGTGTTGCCCTGTTTTGTGGAAGATCGAAAAAAAAAGAAAACATGAACTGGAAAAGATTGTAGATGAAAGATGAAGATTAGTTGTGTGTGAGCACGTTAAATTTAAAATTACTGTGGTATGTCTAAGTGAAGATATTTAACAGCAATTAAAAAGAAGGTTTAGAGAGCAGAAGTCGGGATTCAAAGTGCAGGTTAGGGAGTCAGCCGAAGATTACAGGTGGTAGAAGCCACGGTTATGAATAACACCACAAAGAAGTACAGTTGATCCCTGAACAATGAGGGGATTAGGGATGAATCCTCCTGGCAGTAAAAAATCACAATATAACTTATAGTCAGCCATCCACACTGCGACTCCTCCATATCTGAGGATATGACCAACTGCTCGTTGTATAAAAGTGTAGTATTAACTACTGAAAAAAAAATGTATAAGCAGTCCCATGTAGTTCAAAGTTCAAACTTGCATTGCTCAAGGGTCAACGGTATTTAGAGTAAGTATAAAAAAAAAAGGAGAAAGGTAGGAAGGAAATAGGGGAGAAGGAGGAAAAAGAGAAAAAGGACAGTACTTTGGGAAACAGCAATACCTACAGGGCACAGACAGGAAAAAAGAGAAGCCCTGGGAGAAAGGAAGAAGTTGGCAGAAAGGAAAGGTGGGAAAATTGGGTCTTCAACATGAAGCAGGAGACCTATTTTCCTCAAAAAAGCGGGAAAATGAATAGGGCAAAGGAGGGAAACAGAGGCTGACCTCCTCATAGTCTCTGTTTCTGTTAAGAGAGGACTAAGAGCCATGTGCTAGGGGAGGAGACAAATGGCCAGAGAAAAGTGATGAGGCAAGTCAGAGGTGTGCGTGAGTCACAGTGGAAAATGGACAGATAAATGGCTTATGCTGAGGGCTCCTCTAACCTTGAAGGTGAGATACTTAGAGTGACTCCTCTTTGAAGGGCTACAGGAACTTCACACAGAATTCAGCACCCCAGAAAAAGGGGAATGATAGGATTAATTCAATATGAAGAGAAGGCTTGAAGAATGATTAGGCTGAAGGACAAGGGGAAGATGGGATCTGAAGGGACTGTAGAGAGCTCTTCATGTGGTGTCACAGAAAACCAAGGCTGGACAGGGAAGGAAGAAAACTCTCCAAGGGGCTGATGGTGAGGAGAAAAGGGAATAGTAAGAGGAGGCTCTGAAGAAGCAGAAGAGATAGGAAGGAAGTAAGAGAGAGAGAAAAATCAACAAAAATGAAGAAGTAAAAAGTTGGAAAGATGAAAATGTCATTAGTTACCGAAATTGAAGATTTCAGAAACAGAAACTCAGGATGGTGATATTCAGTGGCCATGGGAGTTAAGTTCCTGGAATGTGATGAAGTCAATGGCCCAGAGATTGAGGATACTGGCAAGGTATCAGACAGGTCATCCCTAGACGACAACAGGAACTGAGGTAGACAGAAAGACTGTCAGTGAGATACCAGGCTGGGCTCTCGGCCTTTAACACTCACCCCTACAATCAAAGACAGAAAATATTAAAATTTCAGAATGTATGAAAAGATGTGTCCTAAGACACATGACTAATGGCAGACTAACCTAATGGTTTTATCTTCATTATTTGTTTAATAAATCATGCATATTCTTTTAAACAAAAGAAGAAAAATCATTTTAAAATTTTTATAAAATGCCTAACAGACTAAAAATTTTAAATGCCATTAGTAGCATGTAGTGAAACAAAAATTCTTCTGTGGAGTCAGTCTTTCATTATTTATCTTACTCTGGAAATGGTACATGGATACAGGTCACAATTTTTCATTTTGCCAATTTTTAAATACACCCATAGCATATATCCAAAGCAAAGAGGTGACTTGATTTTAATCTCTGAAGTGTAGCAAACTTCAAGAGAGGGAGACTAAAAAAATATAAAAACAGTCAAAATGTTCAATTTTATGTTATGTATATTGTACCACAATAAAAAAAATCTAAAGTATTAATAACAAAAAAAATCTTTACAGAGATAAATTGGATTCCTTCTTAATATTAGTCACAGGATATCTGTAGTTCAGGCTGAGTTAGAATAATGTAAATGCCATTTCAGAAATTAAAGAATCATTCCTTCACAGGTTTAAGAATATATAGTGAAAGACAGTAATGGCATTTAAAAAAGGGTAACCATGCTGGCTATCTTTATGTAGTGTAATATTCTTAAATTCAGTATCAATATGTCTTCTTTTCTGGAATTTTCATTCCTGAGTCTTTTTGTTTTTCTGTTTGAAAAGGACTAGAAGAACTTACTAGTTAGTGTGATGCTGAAAGAAGTTTAAAATTTGTTTTGCATTTGTTGTATTCCATTCTTGTTCTTTCAGGGGTCCTTCGCATACAAATACATACTTTTTCAAAATTTTCTCTCCTACTTCTCGGAAATCCAAGGGTTCTTTGTGTGTAGCGTAGCTTGCTCCAGAAACGCCACTATCCATTTCGTGATTTTCTGGCTGTTGATCTGCACAATGCTTCAATCCCCAATAACACATTTCTCCACTGTACATCATAGCCAGCAAATGAATGTCACTAAATATTCCTAGGAAAGTCATTTAAGTTGAGATTAGAATTTAAAAACTTTAAAAGAAACCCTAATGATTAAGACTCTAATAAAATCCTTTTATATCATTAAGCATTTTTCCTTCTCATTTTACAGCTATACTTTAAAAAGCCAAATATCACTTAATACAATCCTCATTTCATTGACACTTCCATCTCTACTTTATCTATAAAAAAAGCCCAACCCCACCCTCCCCAAAAAATTATTTTTAAAGAATCATTTAGGTTCGTGTATTCACCGTTCTGGGATTATCTTTAGGATCTGTTTGAAAATCTAACCATTGATTTAAATGGAACCTCTCCCAGAAACGTGCATTCCATATTCCAAATACTACTCAGAGATTCCCTCGATCCCATTCATGAACAGAGCTTTTATTTAGGGGGTATACTCAAGGATCAGTAATACAGTTCCTATATTTCTACAATAGTGTACAGATACAATCCTGCATAATCATGTCCCTTAGAGGCCATATAATTTGAAATAACTAAAGATGTTAAATTGTATCCAAGATGCTTCATGTTCTCAGGAAAAAGGAATACATTGCAGGATTTTCATCAAAAGTTGAAAGCATGCTTATTATAGAAGAAGGCAATTATATAATTAAACATTTATGACACACAGAGTTTATTAATTTGATATTAAAAAAACCTAGAAACCAAAAAAAAAAAAAACAAAAAAAAACCTAGAATAGCAAAGATATGGGGATAAATGATGAACTTTGTACAACTCACCAAAGCTCTTTTAAACCTCAGTTTGCAAAACTGAGGATTCCACATGCCCTACTTATTTCATGGAATTTTAACGAGCTTTTCTTCTGAAATTTTTTTCTCTTTTAGCTATGAAGAAATGAAGTGAAAAGAAAAGATTATGGGTAATATGCCTTGTACTTATTGTTTTGTACATATTACCCATAATCATTTCTTTTTCATTTCATTTCTTCATAGTTAAAAGATCAAAATCTTCAGAGAAAAAGCTAGAATAGTATTAGATGTTATTCAGAATGTAAAAAGAAACAGACCTAGAATCTGAGAGGATCTAGATAAAAATCACTAACTTTGTACAACTCATCAAAGCTCTTTAGGCCCCAGTTTGCAAAAATCAAGATTTCACATGCTCTCCTTAATTTTGTGAAGTTTTCTTAAGGAATAATTGGCAGGGTTTCCCCCACCCCCAATTAATGATTTTCACTCCAGAATTATATTTCATATTAGATAGGGCATTTCACCAAATGCATATCCTTTCTCATTTTTGTAATCTTACACCCTAATTATTCCTAAAAAGACTGGTAAAGTAAGGAGATAGGAGCAAAATTGAATCAAAGGTTGAACTTTTAAGCAGACTAGATCTTTAGAAGGAAGAGCTAAAGTAAGTCCCACAAAGTAAGGCCACATGGGAAAGATGAGAAGTGTTTGCTTAAGGGAGATCTGGCATCCAGTTTACACCCAACTCTAAGCTAGCCTCATTCTTTATACTAACAAGGAGTGATGGCTAAGAAAGGTACACAGATATCCTATAGGAAGGCGTCTCTGAGGAATGAAAGAACTATACTAAATATACTAAAGAGTGGTTTTCAAACTTTACTACAATTACCTGGAGGACATGCTAAAATGCTGGTTGCTAGATTCCCACCTCCAAAACTTGCAGATTCAGGTATGGGATTGTATCTATGAACCTGCATTTTTAACAAAAGACTTAGGATCTACGGTAAGACTGCTGGTCCATAAACTATGCTAAACTAATGTTTCAAAATACCAAGGGAAGAGATAAACAACATAAAAAATATTCTTCCTCGCTCCCTACTCTCTCAAGGAATCTATTACTTTCTAGTTACACAGTTTTTGGTGCTATAAATTTTCTGATATTTTTTTGCTAAGGTTCAGCATGGTTTTCAGTAAAATACTTCACTATGTACTGTTCATATGCTTAGTGAACATATATGTGAGAGTAGGGGATGAAGGGAGGGAGAGGACGAATAATCCATGAAGTAAGAGTGATGACAGAGACTTTTATGGTAATAAAAAAATTAAAAAAAAACAAAAATGTGGCCAGACTGGCATTTCTAGAAGCAGTGATGTCTAAATCTGACTGCATGATAATTACAGGAGGTAATAAAAATAGATTCCTGGACTCCACATATTGAATCAGAACCTTCAGGTGATACACAGAAATCAGTATTTTTAACAAGCTACCCAGGCAATGAGTGATCTCAATTCAGAGCTCCTCCTTCAAAAGATCTGAAATCCAGGTTCTGGGCTAAGCAATGAGCCAAAGACTGCCAGGATGGGAGGCTCTTAGTGGCATAAAAAGGGCATAAACCAAGGATGCACACAGCTGAACAGTCCTTTAACCTATTTAACTCCAGGGTTATAGTGACAAGGCTATTTTTATAAGGGCCCACAGAATAATGTAACACAGAAATGAAATAAAAAGGTTTACTGACTACATTACTTGACAATTTCTAAAAGCAAAAAATTTAATGGCATACAGGTAATGAACAAAAGACAAAATGATTATCTCACCTTCTAAAAAGACATAAAAATCATTGAAAGCATACATTGCTTTGAGTTTTATCCAAAATCAGGCAAACTATCATTAAGATCTGGCCACAAAAGTTTTGATGATTCTTAAAGAACTTTTCACTCTAATTAGCATTAAGAACTATTCTGGGGCTTCCCTGGTGGCTCAGTGGTAAAGAATTTACCTGCCAATGCAGGAGACACAGGTTTGATCCCTGATCTGGGAAGATCCCACATGCTGCAGAGCAACTCAAGTCTGTGTGCCACAACTACTGAGCCTGCGCCCTAGAACCCACGGGCCCCGACTACTGAAGCCCGCGTGCCCTAGAGCCCTGCTCCACAACAACAAAAGCCATCCTAATGAGAAGCCTGTGCGTTGCAACTAGAGAGTAGCCCCCGTTCACAGCAACTAGAGGATAGCCTGTACAGCAACGAAGACATAGCACAGCCAAAAAAAGAAAAAATAATAATTATTCCAAATTATGCTTTTTATACTGGCTAACAAAATTTAAAAAGAAAAACAACTTAGAACCACTCCACCAGGGTCTTAAGAGTAATTTAGCCTATGAAAAGTAGGCTTCCTGACTACTAGTATACATCTCAAGGAATCAAGTAGGGAAGAACAAACTGCTTTAGTTGAGAGCAAGCCAACACCAAGAGGACTGACTCCTGTGGCAAAACTGCTAGGGAGCTGATCTTGCTTTATTGTTTCCTGGAAAAAGAGACCCTATCTGTGCCTTTGATTCCACTGTTGAAGAAGCAATGGAAGGTAGAGGCAAATGTAATCAATTATAATTCAAAAGAAGACCAGTATCACAAGGATAGTGATAAAAAACATTCCAGGCCATGAGAATATATAACTTTATGACTAGAAATGGGAGAATAAGGGAAATATTGTGCCTTTTTCTTTGAGTTTGCTGCCGCTGCTAAGTCGCTTCAGTTGTGTCCAACTCTGTGTGACCCCAAAGATAGCAGCCCACCAGGCTCCTCTGTCCCTGGGATTCTCCTGGCAAGAACACTGGAGTGGGTTGCCATTTCCTTCTCCAATGGATGAAAAGTGAAAGTGAAGTCGCTCAGCCGTGTCTGACTCTCAGCGACCGAATGGACTATAGCCTACCAGGCTCTTCCGTCCATGGGACTTTCAGGCAAGAGTACTGGAGTTTAAATAAGCTTTAATGTCCATCTCCGCTTTTTCTTCCATGAGGGTGAAGAAATTTTAGAAAGCTCATTTTCAATGCAGCTAATCAATTCACTAGTTACCTGGAATAAATACTTCTCACAAATAAATCAAAACACATTTGTCAAAACATCATGTTTGTCAAAACATCATGCTGACTGAAGGAGCACTTTATATCCACAACAAGTTTTTTAAGGACAAGCCATTTGCCTAAATAAACTGAAGGGAAACTTTTGGACACCAGTAGCCAGTCATATATGTTAATGACACTTAATTCACGGTGTGTTTTTTTTTCCATGCCAATGTTTTCTAATAGAAAGGAAAAGTATACAGCAGTTAACAAAGAAGAATTAGAACACCCTTATAAAATTAAAACACAGAGTCTTCCCTAAGAAGTTTTCTTCTTCCCCATGTTTGATTTTTCCCATCAAAATTTCCCCAGAATTTCACATGAAGCATAAAAGAAAGTTTACATATATAATCTAACATGTTTTGCCAGCTATGTGACCTTACCAGGCTTATCAGGACCTCGGTTCTTTCATCTGTGAAGAGACACTAAAAATAAATGGTTCTTCCCTCTCAAACCTCAGTCTAAAACCCAAATGATGCTCTACTTCCAGTTCCTAACATTTTTAAGTGCACAGATGTTTATGACAGAAACCAGCAGGTACCATACAACATGCACTCTTTCCGTCTTTCTTAGTCAAGACATTTACTAGGGATGGCAAGGTATAATGTAAAGGGCAATACATCCCAGATTCCCTTGTAGCTATATGATGTTCTGTGATTAAATTCTGGCCAGTGAAATGTTGGCAGAAGTGTTCTCAGTGTTGTAACAAGCTTCTAAGAAGGCTGTAAGACCTGGCTGAAAGAAATTTCTTTTTGCCATTCCTAGAGATTGAAACATAGCTAAAACAGAAGGAGCTCCAGCAGCATCTTGAGATACTGAAAATAGAAGCAATGTACTCAACAGGGATGCCTGTTGCACAACTCTGGCAAATACTGTTTATATGAATTCTATAAAGCACGTCCCTCTGAAGCCACAGGGCTCTACTTCAAAAGATGATAGAGGAAAAAGATAGGAATTTGATGCCATGAAGCCACCATAACCAGCTATGGACCTTTTTTAAGTGAAAAAGCAGTAAATTTATTCTTGTTTTGAAGTTACTTCTAGTCCCTGTTACAAGAAGCCAAACCTAGAGCCTGATCAAGGCTGGGTAGGGATGCAAAGAAAGTAAAAGCAACATGATAAATTAATTTCTTTAAACTATTAAACAGAAATTAGCAGTACTTTTATGTATTATATAAGAAGACTTTCAATTTTTAAAAGAGCCTTTTATTATTGTTTCATCTGTAATGTAAACCTTGAAATTTACTTAAATCAGTTAAATCTAAGAGACATTTTAAAATATTAAAATGCTCTGAAACACTGAGAAAACTGAAAAAAGAAATCATATTACCTTCACTTAGTAATTTAGCTGTGTCTAGGTCTTGGAAAGAAACTCCTTCATTTAACTGGATGGGACACCGAAAATTCAGCATCTGTAGTAAGTAACTGATTCCATCAACAAGGTACTAAATCAAAGTCAAAAACAAAGAATCCAGGTTATTAAATGCAGAGCTATAGAAACTTCAAATGTTAATATCTTTACTCAGGAGAATACTTGCTAATAGCTATTACTAGATATGTCTTATGGTTATTACATTACAATGCTCTAAGGACCCACTACCTTGAAATTTTTTAAAGGGTATTTTAAATTAGTAAAAGGGTATGGGGAGAAAAACCTTCAAGGATCACAGCATTGTTGTGGTGAAGGGCCTTTTGTAACTCATGAACCATGCTGTGCAGGGCCATACAAAATGATGGGTCATAATGAAGAGTTTTGACAAAATGCGGTCTACTGGAGGAGGAAATGGCAGCCCACACCAGTATTCTTGACTTAAGAACCCTATGAGCAGTATAAAAAGGCAAAAAGATATGACACTGGAAGACAAGACCCCAAGGTTAAAAGGTGTCTAACATGCTACTGGGCAGAGGGCAATTACTAATAACACCAGAAAGAATGAAAGAGCTGGGCCAAAGCAGAAATGATGCCAGTAGTGGATGTCTCTGCTGATGAAAGTATAGTCTGAAGCTATAAAGAACAAAACTGCATAGGAACTTGGAAAGTAAGGTCCACAAATCAAGTAAATTGGAGGTAGGCAAGCAGGAGGTGGCAAGACTGAACACCAACATCTTAGGAATCAGTGAACTAAAATGGACAGCAATGGGCGGATTTAATTCAGGTGACCATTGTATCTACCACTGTGGGCACAAACTTCTTAGATGCAATGGAACAGCCCTCAGAGAGTCTAAAATGCAGTACTTGGGTGCAACTTCAAAAATGACAGAATGATCTTGGTTCCCTTCCAAGGCAAAACATTCAACATTCACAGTAATCCCAGTGTACGCTCCAACCACTGATGCCAAAGAAGCTGAAGTTGAATGGTTCTATGATGACCTACAAGACCTTCTAGATTATCACCAAAAAAAAAAAAGATGTCCTTTCTATCACAAGGGACTGGAATACAAAGTAGGAAGTCAAGAGATACTCAGAATAACAGGCAAGTTTGGCCTTGGAGTACAAAATGAAGCAAGGCAAAAGCTAACAGAATTCTGTCAAGAAAACATGCTGGCCATAGCAAACACCCTTTTCCAACAACATGGGAGGCAACTCTACACATGGACATCACCATCACCAGATGGTCAATATCAATATTAGACTGATTATGTTCTTCGCAGCTGAAGATGGAAAGCTGTATACAGTCAGCAAAAATAAGACCTGGAGCCGACTGTGGCTCCGATCATAAACTACTTATTGCAAAATTCAAGCTTAAATTGAAGAAAGTAGGGAAAACCACTAGACCATTCAAGCATGACCTAATCAAATCCCTAATGATTATATACAGTGGAGGTGACAAACAGATTCAAGGGATTAGATCTGATAGACAGAATGCCTGAAGAACTATGGACAGAAGTTCATACATTATACAGGAGGCAGTGACCAACACCATCTCAGAGAAAAAGAAATGGAAGAAGACAAAGAGATTGTCTGAGGAGGTTTTAGAAATTGCTGTGAAAAGAAGAAAAGTGAAAGGCAAGGGAAAAAGGAAAATATATACCCAACTGAATGCTGAATTCCAAAAAGAGCAGGGAGAGATAAGGCGGCCTTCTTAAGTGAAAAATGCAAAGAAATAGAGGAAAAAACAGAACGGGAAAGACTAGAGATATCATCAAGAAAATGAGAGATATCCAGGAAACATTTCATGCAAGGATGGGCATAAGGGACAGAAACAGTAAAAACCTAACAGAAGCAGAAGAGATTAAGAAGAGGTGGCAAGAATACACAGAACTATACAAAAAGGTCTTAATGATCCAGATAACCATGATGGTGTGATCACTCACCTAGAGCCAGACATCCTGGAGTGTGAAGTCAAGTGGCCCTCAGGAAGCATTACTACGGACAAAGCTAGTAAAGGTGATGGAATTCCAGCTGAGCTATTTCAAATCCTAAAGATGGTGCTGTGAAAGAACTATACTCAATATGCCAGCAAATTTGGAAAATTCAGCAGTGGCCACAGGACTGGAAAAGATCAGTTTTCATTTCAATCCCAAAGAACAGCAATGCCAAATAATGTTTCAACAACCGCAAAATTACACTCATTTTATGCACTATTTTAACAAGGCTATGCTCAAAATCCTTCAAGCTAGGCTTCAGCAGTACCTGAACCAAGAACTTTCTGATGTACAATCTGGGTTTAGAAAAGGCAAAGAAACCAGAGACTAATTTGCCATCAATTTGCTAGATCATGAAGAAAGCAAAGGAGTTCCAGAAAAACATCTACTTCTGCTTCATTGACTACACTAAAGTCTTTTTGTGGATCACAACAAACTGTGGAAAATTCTGAAAGATATGGGAATACTAGGCCACCTTACCTGCCTGCTGAGAAACCTGTATGCAGGTCAGGAAGCAACAGTTAGAACCTTACATGGAACAACTGACTGGTTCAAAATAGGAAGAGGAGTATGTCAAGGCTGTTTATTGTCACCTGCTTATTTAACTTGCATGTAGAGTACATGTACATCATGTGAAACGCCAGACTAGATGAAGTTAAAGCTGAACTTAAGATAGCCAGGAGAAGTTATCAACAACTTCAGACATGCAGATCATACCACTCTAATGGCAGAAAGTGAAGAGGAACTAAAAAGCCTCTTAATGAAGGTGAAAGAAGAGAGTGAAAAAGCTGGCTTGAAACTCAGCACTAAAAAAATACCAAGATCATGGCATCTGGTCCCATCATTTCATTCCAAATAGAATGTAAAATAGTGAAAACAATGACAGATTTTATTTTCTTGAGCTCCAGAATCACTGCAGACAGTGACTGCAGCCATGAAATTAAAAGATGTCTGCTTCTGTAAGGAAACCTATGGCAAAGCTAGACAGTGTAGTAAAAAGCAGAGATATCACTTAGCTGATAAAAGTCCATATAGTCAAAGCTATAGTTTTTCTGTAAGTCATGTATGAATGTGAGAGTTGGACCATAAAGAAGGCTGAATGTCAAAGAATTGATGCTGTTGAGCTATGGTGCTGGCAAAGACTCTTGAGAATCCCTTGGACTGCAAGATCAAACCAGTCAATCTTAAAGGAAATCAACTCTGAATATTCACTGGAAGGACTTATGCTGAAGCTGAAATGCCAATACTTTGGCCATGTGACGGTCAACTCACTGGAAAGACCCTGATACTGTGAAAGACTAAAGGCAACAAGAGAGGATCAGATAGCACCACCAACTCAATGGACATGAATTTGAGCAAACTTTGGGAGATAGTGGAGGACAGAAGGATAGAGAAGGATAGAGAAGAACCTCATATGCTACATTCCACAGGTTGCACAGTCAGACACAACTTAGGGGCTGAACAACAAGGGAAAAAAATCACTAACCAAGAACACATGATTTAGTAACATACTTGTCAAAAATGTCATCGGAGAAAGAAATCAATAAAGATAATAAAGATGTGTTCAATAACAACTCGTTAAAAATATGGATACACTTACTATAATTTGGAAATACTATAATCAAATTTTTATATCTGAAACTGTGACCTCTCATTTGCAGGCCCACATAAACTGTGTACAACCAACCCAAGATAGGAAGGATCCATAGTGATACGAATATTAAGACAGGATCTTTGCATTTACTGATTTGGTCAGAAGAATCAGGAAAAATCAGAGAGCCACAATTTTCTAAGAGCAGGGTCATGTGGAATCTTTAGGAGTGATCTGCTGATAGAAAGAGGCTCACTACCAAGTTTGTTTTCTTCAGGCCAAAAAATATGCTTAGAAATTAATACAGATTATCTGTCTTATATTTTAAAAAATAAAATCTGGGACTTATAAAAAAAAAGTGTAAAACTTCCCAGTTTACAAGGGATTTTCACATGTTATTTTATGGTTTTTCTTTTCCACATTATTTAATCTTTACACTAATTCCAATTTAAGATTACACAGCTGATAAGTACAGGCCTGGAATGAAAACCCAGACCCTTTGATTCCTTGGTTCTTAATCCTATATTAAAGACAGAATTTAGAAACATTTAAATGTCAACAATCAAATATATATGAGGAATTTGCCTTTTTACCTTTTTAAGTAAGCTAGATTTTCTTGTGAGCCATTCTCTCCTTTTGGTCAGAGAATGACAATACATATAGAGTAGGGCTCCTCGCCTCCAGGAGAGACATTCCAGGAGTTCATCTCCAAGCAAACTGCAGTGCTAAAATACAACAAAGACTCAGTTAAAAAGAGAAACTTCATGTCTGTAAAAATAAAAATTAAATTTCAAAATATTGAGAAATTAAAAATATTCATTTCATAAAATCTGCCCTTTACTTAGCAACCTACACAGGAATGACTTACTTTGAATCAATTAGAAATATAGACATCTACTGCTACATAAAAATTAAAATAGCTACTCCAATTTACAAATATTTCTAGATAACTGATATTCAAGTGTTTTAGTAACTAAATCCTTTAATGTATTTCAAATGTTAGTATTCCATAGTCTGATGGAAAAAATAAGTTTTCATAAATATATACATGTTACCTGACACATTTTCTACTACTATGAAATTAAAATAATGAAAAGATATATACAAAAATAATTTAATGAATCAAACTTTTATTATGTGGTATCATTTAAAACTTGGGATTATTTATTTCCACAGTTAGCATTCCCTGATAAAACAGAGAGCAACAAAGATATCTCAGTAGAGACAGCCAGCAGATAGTTGAAGATGAGAAATTATTTGCCTGAATGAATGGATTTCTCTGCTGATCCATGGGTTTAGAGTAGTCAGGGCTAGATACAAAAATCTTGGAAATCACTGAAATAGAGACAGCAGTAAAAAGCATGTGGACAAGTTGTCAAACAAAGACAAAATAGAACTATTAGAGGATTAAGGAGATATTCTTGGGGAGTGCCTATGTTTCCAGAATGGGAGAGAGGTGAGATGCTTAGAAAGAGAAAGAGATGAAGAGATGAAGAGAAGCATGCAAGGCCTTCAGGAATACTATGATCCTTGGAAAGAAAGCAAATGTCCAAGAGGAAGAGGACTGTGAAAGAACCAGAGATGTGGTCATTAAGATTACAAGGAATCTTCAAGAAAACATAGCATCTGCAAAAGTAAAGGGAGTAGAAAGAGCAAATGTGCATCTTTAGAAAATGACTATGCACTGTGCAAAACTTCATCATAGAAAATGTTCTGAAACATATTTATAAAAATGGATACTTTAGTTTTGACATCAGTCTGGAACGTTCACTCTCATATATCCCTCCTTTAGTCAATTTAAAACAGAGGCAAAGACACATTTAAGAAGAAAAAAACATAGATCCTAAAGGGTAGTCTAGCAGGAATTAGCAGCATTCCACCATAATTCACAGTTGTGCAAAACTTACTTTTGGATGCATATTATTTTCTTTAACCAAAATTTCTGGTTCTGAAAGAAAATTGATCAACTCTTTTACTTTCTGTGAAGAATCTTCAGGAAAATCTTCATCTACTAGCTTGTTCTCCTCAAAATATGTCATGTCCAAAATAGCCTGAAGTAAGAGAGAAAAAAGTATAATATAAAAGATTTGAATTAGAATGAATAACTCTTACAGTTTAATCTTACATATATTCTTTGCGACCCCATGAACTGTAGTCTGCCAGGCTCCTCTGTCCATGGGGTTTTTCAGGCAAGAGCACTGGAGTGGGTTGTCATTTCCTTCTCCAGGGGATCTTCCCAGGGATTGAACCTGTATCTCCTGCATTGCAGGTGGACTGTTTACCTGCTGAGCCATCAGGGAAATCCCAGTAGTCCTAGCTGTAAATATAATCTAAGATGAATTTACAGTGAACTTCGTAAGATTTAACTAAATACTGATTTAAGATAATCCAGCTTTCCTCAAAAAATAAAATGGATATTTATGTTTTAATTCAGGTAAGTTAATCATATACAATTATAAAAAGTTTTTTATATTCTTTATTATTTGCATATATTACTTTCTGAACATTTTCTAAATGCCTGCCATTATCAAGAAAAGGTCACTACCTCCAGTTTTGTACACTGAATCTTCAAAGGATTACCTGTTTCCCCAAATGAAGAGCCAGCACTTTCAAACTACTCAATCCTTTGTCTCTGTTTAACCTACTTGACAAAGACTAAGGAAACTGAGTTCTGCTATTAGTTCTATCTAACCAACCAAAGACAAGTCATATTTTACTTCTTTTTTAAAGCCTCAGTTTCTTCATTGACAAATTGTCTTTTAAAGTCCCTGGCCTTGGAGAATAAAATGAATTAACATATGTAAATCACTTAGAACATGACCTAGCACACAGCACTACTTAAGTGACAGGTGCTCTTGTGTTAGAAGGCCTAAGCCAGGAAGGGAGAGATCATCATCCTAAGGAAAAGGACCTGTTGATTCAGAACCACAAGTAAGCTCCAGAAGGGTTTGAGGAATTTTAATTATATCTTTAATTCTTTTACCTTATTCCCAGAAATAAGTTAAAATGTCTACAGCTCTCCCATATGAAAGAAGTAAGATAAACAGGGAACCTTCTGAAGGGAAAGAAAGAAAGTGAAGCAAATTTCTCCTGAGCTGCAATAGCTCTCTGGGGTTTGTGGGTACTTGTCAGAGGCTCATTCAACCACATCTGAAGGCAGAAACTATCTCTATGTATCTCCTAACAGAAAGCAGTGTCAGGCAGGTAAGTGCTATGAATGTGTGTTTTGGAAAGTCGACTAAGTTTACTCTTATTTCCTATAACTGTTATTTCCTATAACAACTTCATCTTTATTATCCCCTGGCAATCAAGTAAGGGCATATGAAGCACTCTTTCAGCTATAAAGTGCTATATAAATGATAGCTACTTTAATAAAACTATGTTTTTTTTTCAGGTTTTGCTTTTTTGTTGTGCTGCACAAATGCAGGATCTTAAGTTCCTTCATGGAACGCCATCAGGGTGAAGCCTGTGCCCTCTGCAATGGAAGAACGGAGTCTTAACCACTACATTGCCAGGGAAGTCTCTCAAAATTATGTTTATTAATGTGAACTTGCCTCAGCAGTTTGAGAAAACCTAGAAAACAGACCTTGTCCATAGAGAAGTCTGAATTTGAAAGAAAACTGAAAGAAGAAGGGAGAACAGTTTTCTGTTCTTATGGACTTGTATAACAAAAGCAAAGGTAGTAAAGCGAACAATCCAAAGGAAAGCTAAATTTCAGGGAAAAAAAAAATAACCAGAGGCCTTATAGAAACCTCTATTCCCTCTGACTAACCTTTCAGAGCTTGGAAATTGTACATATGAGTATTTTGCTTAATTATCTAAACAGGAAGCAATATTGTTATCTGTAAGACTTTTTCCCTCAGTTTATAATCCACACATCCAATAAACTTTACTTCTTTGCAAACTGCCTCACAGTTTCAAGTTTATATGCCTTATACATAGTTTTTTGAACAAAAACATTATAAATAAAGAACATTAAACCTAAATTTTGGAGTCAACTCTTTTAAGTAAGAACCTGCCTCCACAATATGTCAGAAACAATCTGATTCAGTACCTGTGTGTAAAGTTCTAGAAGATTTGATGGGGTTGAACATTCTTTGTCTTCACCACACTGAAATTTCAATTTTTCTAGAGCTGCAGAGGCGCGAATTAAAAAGTGATCTATAAGAGATAAAAATATGATTACTTCACCTAGTTTCAGGTGTCTTTTAAAGAAAAAAAAAGCTACATATCTAAAATGATAAAATTAATACAACATAGTAATATCTTTTCTAAAACATGAAGTATATCATAATGCCTAACTCTACTTAAATTTATCATGGAAATTTTTCCTTAAAAGCTGGACTTAAAACTTTCTAGGTTCAGTTGCCATTTCTTAAGCACAACCTGTACTTTCATAATGTTTATTTTATGATGCTGACATACTCATAACGTTTAAGCATTAAATTTAAAACTTTTATTGGAAGAGTACAAATAATATACATAAATCTACAGAAAGGACTTCCACTAAAAGCTTATAATTTCATACATACATTCTGCGAAGGAAAAAGACTGACTAAACCAAATGCCTCATAAAATGTAAGTGCTGTTAGTTATAAAATTATAACTTTGTAATTATACTTACATATTTATGTATACAAATAGCTGTTGTAAGTAAAATTACACAATATACCTGAGTAGTTTATTTCTTGAAAACCTAGAAATCAAAACTTGGACAAAATTAAGTATTTCTGATATACCCTCTAAAAGCAACTCGTCCTCACTTCCCCTCTACATTGATTGTCTAATTCATTCCTTTTTTCTTTTGCTTCTACACTTTCACCTTTTCTTATGAATTTTTCCTCCCTAACCTACAAATTGTCCATACCAAGGTGCTATCCACCCTTCTGCATCCTGGGTTGGAAAAGAACCCCTGGAGAAGGGCATGGCAACCCATTCCAGTATTCTTGCCTGGGGAATCCCCATGGACAGAGGACCCTGGTGGGCTACAGTCCAAAGAGCTGCAAAGCGTTGGACACTGAGCAACGACGCACACACACACATCATCAAAAAAAAAAAAAAAAATCAAGACACTTAGATCCTTGAGATTGCCCCTCTGTAGCTCTCTCCTCAAATATATAACCTTTTCCCCTCACTGGTAAACGGACAATGTAGGACCTGGTGAGGGTCCATCTGATCCAGCCTCAGCACCTACACAGGCAGGTAAGAAGATCAGTGTTGGAACAAAAGCATCACCAGTTTAAGCTGCATCTGGCAGTAATAAGACAACCTTAAACTTTCCCTGGTAAGGCCGAGCCTGTATCTAGACCAGATTCTGAAAGCTTTAAGGTCCAGTGTTCACCTAAATTGAAAATTACTTCTTCAGCACTGCCCTCCTATCTCTCCTCAGCCCAGAAGTATCAACCAGACAGCTCAGGAAAAAAAGATTCTACTGTGAACTGAAATGGTTTGGAACATGACACTCCTCAGGAGCTTCTTTAAACAATGAGTTGATATTTTCTTCTTAATTTGAAGGATTATTTTAAATGTAAAGACTTGCACTGAGTTCATCAAACCATTGCTAAAGGAGCATTTCACATGAACTCATGACATAATTAGAGAAGTGGAGGGATAATGGCTCACCGTTTTAGAAAATTTTTATGAAACGTAGAATTTTTCCTAACCATTCAGTCAACATAGTGACTGACAAGGCAAAGGTAAGAGATTCTAACATAGTCCTCAGAAAAGGTCCCTCTAATGGTATATTTCCACTTCATAAACACATTGTGCTTGTACAGTGAGAAATAAATGAACAAAAATTGACCAGTAGTAGGACAGTATTCTTACATGGACTAATGTCTGGCTGTATCTGATCAAATTCAAAAACTTCAGTAACTATCAGTTCCTACAACCTAATAGAAATATCACAAAAGAACAAATTTTTACTGTGTATTATTTTTGTTGTATTGGAAAATACAAGTTCAAATACACGGAACTATGTTTTAGTTAAACTTCATAAAATCAAATCTTGCTAGTAATACTGAACAATTCATAACGTGGACCACTATTATTGCAATTCCAGTACATTTCAGAACTTTAAAGCCTCCAAACAAGAATATATTACTTTTCAGCCCTCACTCTAGACTGGGTTAAAGTATTCTTCCATTGGAAAATGAGAATGGCTTTTGGGTTTATTGGTAAGTGAATAGCATACATTCTTTCATCTCTTCAAGACTGGTTCTAACGGAGCTGGAGTGGGGTGGAAATCACTGAATAGTTTATTTAGAAGTAACTTAGATACACTTCCAGACAACAGCTACTGGAATAGCTACTACTGTCCATGAACTAAAATTATTCATGTGATTCACTTACCACAAACCAAAAAAGGAAACAACTTCAGGGTAGTCTTGTGGATTTTAAACAACAGACCCCTAAGAAAAGAAAATCCAGCAAATAGTCTTGTATGGAACTAGAGCCATTTTATCATGGACCTTATTTAATAAATTCACCAACTATTCAATCGCTTGGGAAAACGTTCCACTACTATTTACCTATGACTCCGAAGACAACAAGACAGCCCACAAAATTTTTTTAAACTTTCTATCTGTAAGTAAAGGTGCAAAACTCGCTAAGAAAGAATGTAGAAACCTATAGGCAGCTGGTAAGTAATGAAAAAAGAGCAAACGTCGAGGTGATTCTCTGTGTCAGTTTTTCCTAAGGAAACCGCCTAGATATTTCAAAAAAAAAAAAAAAAAGTGTCCTAGTACTGACAGGACCCTTGTGACAACTCAGGTGATGAAGGTGAGAGAATCGTTTTAATTATACCAATGTAAATCTCTTCAGTAGACTACTGTTTACAGTTGAGTTTATAGACTCCAAAACACAACACAGAAATTTACAACGTAATGATAAAAAAGTTGAACTATTATACGCGCCAAACTATCTTTACGACATGCAAAACTATCATTACTTATTTGCGTACCACCATCCAACTTTAACCACTCATTTAAACTTCCCTGTGTACTTTCATCCAGATCTCGCCCTTATGCCAGTCGCCACCGAGACAGTTAAAAGACAAGAAACACTGATTTGCCTGAGATTTCAGCGGTTTTCGCGAGTTAGGAAAAGCCTGGTCCGGAAGTAAACACCTTTGCCTTAAAGCGATGTGAGCTGCTGGAAGTAGACAAGAGACCGCCCAGCTAGGGCCAGAAGCGCAATACCTCCGGTAGTTCTGGCCTGGAATCCACAGATTACAGGCCGCAGCCGCAGCCGCAGCCTCAGCCCCTATGGCCGTCGAGAGCCAGCTCCGAACAACCGCCCGCCTGCCCGCCTCCCTCTTCTCGGCTCCCTCACCATCTTCGCCGGCGGCTTCGCTAAGTTGTTGTATGTGGGCCTGAGCCAGGTCTCCGAGTTCCTCCACTCGCCTCACAACACTGGAGCTTGCGGCCGCCATGGCCACAACGGGCGGGCGCGCCCAGTCACGTGACCGCGCCGGCCCACGGTCACCTGATCCCCCGGTGCGGGCGGGGCTGCTTGGGGCGGAGCTCTCTTGGTTGGTAGGAGGGGACCCAAGTTCCGAGAAAGGGCTGGCTCAGGCCCGCAAAGGTTGTTCCGGGTTATCCTCTTCCTCCAGGACTTCTCCTTCCACAGCCCTGAGTAGGCATTTTGAGGACGGGCGTGACGTCAGGACACGCCTCCCTCCCGCCCCACTTCTAAACCAATAGAGAGCCGCCGGCTCTGTCTTCCGCGCTGATCTAATGAAAAGCCAGCTCTCTCCGCCGGGGTCTGGCTGGAGAGCGTAGCTGCAGCACTAGGTCGCTTTGTAAGACATCCCTGGTGCTTCATAGGTTAAGGCGTCTGCTTATAACGCGGGAGACCCCGGTTCAATCCCTGCGTCGGGAAGCTCCTCTGGAGAAGGAAATAGCAACCCACTCCAGTGTTTTTGCTTGGAAAATCCAATGGATGGAGAAGGCTGCGTTGGGGTCCCAAAGAGTCGGACACTACTGAGTGACTTCACTTCAACAGAGCAGACATTAACCTCTGAAAATAGGGCTGTCTGGTTTTGGTTGTCTAAAATACGGAAAGCCCGACTGGCTCTTCTGGAGCACATCCAAATCTCTGAGAGGTTATTGTGGGTCTGGTTGGGCTTGCCTGGTGTCTCAATGGTAAAGAATCTGCGTGCAATGGAGGAGACAGGGATTGGACCCATGGGACCTCTAAAGTCCAGTGCAAATTCACAGTCTATATGGTTGAGTGTTTCTAAAGTTGAATTTTAGCAGTTGGGTTTGCTTTATTTTTGGTCTGCTTTGTCTAGCTCACATTTAACATTCATCTCGTCCCAGTGTACAAAAATCTTGCATTTACAAAAATTTCTATTGCCACATATCTCTAGACCCTCCCTTAAAGAGGGTCTAAAAAACTTCATGTGCAAAGTTCTTCTAAATTGTGAGTTTCAAAGCACTGAGAAGTCTAACTTCCATTGTCCATTCCCTATTTTCTTGCCTCTGATCAAACAAACCTTTAATTCATCTTTTTCATTTTTTGATTTGACACAGTGTATCTTGAATAATCTCCATCCTATCTTCTGGCTTATGGAAGTTAGTTTTTTATTTAATAAGGGATACTAAAAATAGGTGCCAACTAAAAATTGTCACTTGTTATCTGTTGCCATTTTACAAGAATGAAGTCACTAGCCATTGTTGTCACTGACCTTCAACACACCCTGAAAGGAGTTCAGGGCAGAGATCAGAAATGAGGCATGCTGTGCTCTGGGAAAAACTGGCAGAACAGGCCTTTGGATGGTTATTTTCAGGAGAAGATTTTGTGAGCCCAATTCCTTGTATCTTCTCATGCCTGGAAAACCATAAAGTCTTTAACGGAGACATCTGTTCCTCATGACTAGCATCAAACCTTTGCAAAAATGTGTGCCTGATTGCAAGTATCCCCCATCACTAAAACTATGTATATACTGACAGGTCCTCAGAGCTATGTACAGCCCAGGCTATAGTCCTCATCAGGTCCCAAATAAATCTTAATTCACAACTCACTGTGCATTTTTTTTCTCAGTTTACATGAGGAAGCTATGTGTTGTGATTTATAAGTGATTGGCCACAATGGCTTTCTTAGCTGACCTTTGCAACAAGTTTCTTCCATCTTCAATTCACCTAAAATATAGGGGGCAGGAAACATATATTACTTTTGTGTCCTCAGTGATTCCTACAGTGCCTGATACATAATAAATACTCAGGAAAAGTTTATTAATTAAACAAAAATTTCATGTTATCTTGTCAATATCAATTCAATTCAGTCAATCAGTCATGTCCGATTCTTTGTGACCCCATGGACTGCAGCATGCCAGGCTTCCCTGTCCATCACCAACTCCCAGAGCTTGCTCAAACTCATGTCCGTCTAGTTGCTGATGCCATCCTACCATCTCATCCTCTGTTGTCCCCTTCTCCTCCCGCCTTCAATCCTTCCCAGCAACAGAGTCTTTTCCAGTCAGTCAGTCCTTTGCATCAGGTAGCCAAAGTATTGGAGTTTCACCTTCTGCAACAGTTCTTCCAATGAATGTTCAGGACACTCTCTAATCAGGATGTTGAAGGCCAGGAATGTTATATTATGTGATCAATGTGTGCTAAAGAGGGGACTTCCCTGATGGGCCAGCAGTTACGACCCTGAACTTCCACTATAGGAGGCCATGGGTTCGATCCCTGGTTGAGGAACTGAGATCCCACATGCTGGATGGTGAGGCCAAAATATATATATATATATATATCACTGGAACTGTAAATTTTATTATATTTATATTTATTTCATAGATATACTTAATAAATAATATTTAATATATTTAATAAATATACTTAATGAGGTTTGGTATTTTGAGATGTCAAATGCCTATTAAATATATCTTATATATAATGTCATACATATATATGCTAAAGAATCAAAACTCTAATAAGCATTTAAATGCTTATCAAATATATAATATATATAGGCTAAAGAATCAAAACTTTAATAGGCATTTAAATGTTTATCAAATATATACTATACATACTTATATACTATATATATAGGTAAGAATCAAAACTCTAATAAGTATTTGACATCTCAAAATATCAAAACTCTCTAAAGTATTAAATAAAATTTACAGTTCCAGTGATTCATTAAACAACCATAGTCTTTCAGGAAACAAATGTGATACTGGGAATTATTGCTCAACTAAGTGTTTGCTCAACTAATGTTTTCAGAGAGATTCAGATGGATCTGAGAACATATAGTACAGCCCCTTATTTCCAGATGAAGGAACTGGACAGAATTTGACTACTAACCATTCCAAATCCTAGCATATGTGATTCTGTGACTTGCCCAAAATCATACCAAAGTAAGCATTAGAAGATTCTCACCATAGATACAAACAGATAACAGCTAGCCCTCACAATGCACACCAAAGAAAGGGCTTAAAGACAGAGGTCTAGTCCCAGAAAAGAGCAAACATGAGTAATTTCTTCAATTTTAGAGTTAATTATTTCTACTTTAGGAAACCTACGACACATAGAACAAATTAAAATATAATGCTAGATTTTAAAAACTTCCCAGAAAAACTAACAACTCATTATGAATATACCAAAAGTATCTTCTAAAATAATTGATCTCATTTGGACCATTTTCTTCCCCATTAATATATAATGGATAAAATACAATTGGCTAAGAAGAACTTAATTTCTATGGATGTCTATAAAAATAAAAAATCTTTTTAAAAATAAAATTTTTGATTGCTTTTGAACTACTAGTACTTACAATTTGTACCATTCTTTTGAAACTGCCTCTTTACTGATTTACATTTTTTGTGTGGGTCTTATTCTTTCATATAAATTTGTCAACCCTCTATGAACAGGGGGTTGAGTTCTTTTTTTTTTTTCAGTTGCCACCAGTGACTTGAATGTTATAAAACCTCAATAAAAATTTACTTTCAAACTCCCCTGGTGGTCCACTGGTTAAGAATCTGCCTGCCAATGCAAGGTTTGATCCCTAGTGCTGGAAGATTCCATATGTCAGGCAGCAACTAAGCGCGTGTGCCACAATTATTGAAGTCCGCGTGTCCTAGAGCCCATGCTCCACAAGAAGAGAAGCCACTGCAATGAGAAGTCCACACGCCACAACTAGAGAGCAGCCCCCACTCACCACAACTAGAGAAAGCCCATGAGCAGCAACTAAGACCCCTAGCTGCCAAAAATAAATAAATAATTAATTCTCTTTTAAAAAAGATTTACTCTCTTTTTCATGTAATGACCCATTGTTGGGTTAAGCACTGTAATAGGCACTGGATTTATAGCAGTAAAGAAAATAAATGTGATCAATGCCCTCCTGAAGACTGTTATCTAGTTTGGGAAGATAAAGATATGCAATAATCACACAAACTAATACATAAGTTTAAAACTGTGGAAGATGTTATGAAGGAAAAACAAAGGGATAATTTGGTTTGAGATCTCAGAGAACGACTTTATAAAATCCTTTAGATGTTATTATCACCTAAAGGACAAATAAAATTACCCAGGTGAAGAGTGGGGATAGGTACCGACCTGGGCCCAATTAGGAGAAAGAAACTACATGAGCATTTGAATAGGGAAAGTCTGATATAAAGAATTATTACAAGGACTTCCTTGATAGTCCAGTGGTTAAGACAACTAATTTGAGCCACAGAAAGCTCCCGAGCAAATTTTAAAAACTCAGCAGTGGCCACAGGACTGGAAAAGGTCAGTTTTCATTCTAATGCCAAAGAATGCTCAAACTATCGCACAATTGTACTCATCTCACACGCTAGTAAAGTCGTGCTCAAAATTCTCCAAGATAGGCTTCAACAGTACCTGAACTGTGAACTTCCTGATGTTCAAGCTGGATTTAGAAAAGGCAGAGGAACGAGAGATCAAATTTCCAACATCCACTGGATCATAGAAAAAGCAAGAGAGTTCCAGAAAAACATCTACTTCTGCTTCATTGACTATGCCAAAGCCTTGACTGTGTGGACCACAACAAACTGGAAAATTCTTCAAGAGATGGGAATACCAGATCACCTGACCTGCCTCTTGAGAAATCTGTATGCAGGTCAAGAAGCAACAGTTAGAACTGGACACAAAACAACAGGCTCATTCTAAATAGGGAAAAGAGTAACTCAAGGCTGCATATTGTCACCCTGCTTATTTAAAATATGCAGAGTACATCATGAGAAACATTGGGCTGGATGAAGCACAAGCTGGAATCAAGATTGCCAGGAGAAATATCAATAACCTCAGATATGCAGATGACACCACACTTATGGCAGAAAGCAAAGAACTAAAAAACCTCTTGATGAAAGTGAAAGAGGAGAGTGAAAAAGTTGGCCTAAAACTCAACATTCAGAAATCTAAGATCATGGCATCTGGTTCCATCACTTCATGGCAAATAGTTGGAGAAACA